AACTGCACCAAATTTCTAAACAATTTCCACTAGAATTCAGTATGCCTGCTATCATGGTGGCTAGTCATTCAAATAGTGGCAAGTACAACACAATCAGTCATCAACTGTGTCATCCTTACACAGGTGCATGCCCTTGGGGACTAAAGCAATTCAACTCACAAATGGCATGGCCGTAGGAACAAGCAGCTGGGCACTCCCTGAGGCCAGCGAAACAACTACAGACAAGAAAATTGAAAACAACCAGGTGTGGTGGCACACGCCTTTGATCCCAGCACAAGAGGTAGAGGCACATAGATCGATTGAGTTCAAGGCCAGCCTGGTATACAAAGAGTCCAGGACAGCCAAGGCTACACAGAAAAACCCTGTCTTAAAAAATAAATAAATAAAAAGTTGAAATGACTAAGATTCTCACATACAAATACCAGTACACAGTAGGCTTTTTTCTATCTTTGGTTAAAATGTAAACTCTGGCTGGGAATAGTGGCACATGCCTTCAATCCCACAGCAGGCTCTCTCAATGAGGCCAGCCTGATCTGTATATGGAGTTCCAGAGCAGTCAGAACTACACAGTGAGACCCTGCCTCAAAAGGAAAATAAAACAGTAAACTTCTAACTATACATAGTGAGTTATTAAAACAAATTCTATGAGCTACTTACAAAAGGCATTTCCCTAATTATCTAGCATTCAAAACAATTTCACACTAAGGCTCACTGGGGCTATTAGATCATTCAGCATCTCTCAGCTTCAATTTTTCACATACATACATACATACATACATACATACATACATACATACATAAAACAAATGTAAGACAAACTTGAGCGGGGGTTGGGCTCAGTGGTTAAGGCTGTTGCTCTTTCAGAGTCCCATAGTTTGGTTTCCAGCACCCAAGTGGGAAACTCATACCCACCTATAAATAACCTCAGGTTCAACCCTCCTCTGACCTCTGTGGGTACTACACACACAAATAATAAAAACAAACATTTTAAACAAACGCTAATTTAAATTAAACCTTTATTACTTCAATAATAAATTAACATTAATTTCTCATGGTAAGCCTTGAAAACCCTATATTTTCACACCTCAAAATCCTATCTTTAAAACTGTAAGAAAAAATTGGACTGAATATTTTATGTATCTTTCTCTTAATTACACTATAAGAGATGGCAAAAAATGGTGTTTTAAAAACTAATGTTCTTAACTTTTAATAGATGATAATGAGTCTGAGTCTACAACATACATAAACAATAAAGCCTAAAGCTTTCTGGGAACAAAGAAAACCTGGGTATTTAGCCATAATCATTCTACTTTTAAAACTCAGAGCACTATCTTTTTCTAATATGATAAATAAGTCTAGAGACCAAAAGGTAAGAATTGAAGAAAAAAACCTAGACCTAATAGCACATGCATGTAACCCGCGCACTTAGGAGCCAGGAGAATCAGAAGGTCAAGGTCATCCTCATCTATACAGCAAGTTCCACAACCATCTGAGCTATTTAAAAAAAAAAAAGAAAAAAAGAAAAAAAATTGAATTTAACTTTTAAAAATTAGGTAAGGTTGAGGCTGGAGAGGGAGCTTAGCAGTTAAAAGCACTTGCTGTTCTTCCAGCGGATCCAAGTTTGGTTCCCAGAACCTATGTCAGGCTTTTCATAAATGCCTGTAACTCCAGATCCAGATGAGCTGACATTTTTGGGGAAGCCATAGTACATGTGTGTGCACATAAATAAAAATATGATCTTTTCTTAAAATCAAGGAAAACTGTATCATTCTTGACCCTCCATTAATCATTACGATTCAGTTTTTGCTTTGTCTATTCCAGTGGTTCTCAAGCTTCCCAGTGTTGTGACTGTTTAATTCAGCTTTCATGCTGTGGTGACCCCCAACCATAAAATTATCCTAACTGTAATTTTGCTACTGCTGTGAATTGTACTGTAAATATATGTGTTTATGATGGTTTTAGGTGACCTGTGTGAAAGAGTCAGTTGACCCCAAGGGGGTCATAACCCACAGACTGAGAACCATTGATCTATGCGCATGTTCCTTAAGATGTATTTATTTATGTATATGAGTGCTCTATTTGCATATATGCCTGCTTGACAGAAGAGGCCATCAGATCCCATTATGATGTTTGTGAGCCACCATGCCGATGCTGAGAACTGCACTCAGGACCTCTGGAAAAGCAGCCAGTGCTCTTCTTAACTGCTAAGCCATCTCTCCATGCCCCAGTCTAGGCACATTTTAGATCTTTCTCCTTTTTTAGATTTATTTCATTTTATGTGTATGAGTGTTTGTTTGCATTTCTGTGGCACCACATGCATGCTGGGTACCAGAGGTCGGAAAAGGGCATTTGGAGCTACAGAGGGCTGTGAACCACCACCATAAGAATGCTGGAAAGCAAACCCAGGTCCTCTGCCCAAGCAACAAGGGCTTTTAACCACTGAGCCTATCTCTCCAGCCCCTTAAATCTTTTTTTTTAAATTCTGCACAGCAAGTCTTTTCTATCAAGTTTAGAATATAATGCTCTACTTCATGCTCTACTTAAATCTAACATTCTATAATTCAGTCTATTTACACAGTAATATCTACTTCATCAGATGGGTTTGTTTGCCTTTTGGTCCAGAAGCAGGATGAATGAACTAACTCCTTGAAGTCTCTGACAACTATGAAATTGTATCTATGTAGGGTTTGGGGAGGGTTGATTGGTTGAGACAGAATCTCCCAGTGTAACCTTGGCATCCTGGAATTTACTATGTGGACAAGGCTGGCCTCAAACTCACAGAAATCCACCTGCCTGTGACTCCCGAGTGCTGGGATGAAAGTCACGTAGCACCACATTCAGTTCTAGGCAGGTTCTTAACTTCCTCTGTCTATTCCCCAAACTGTCAAATAGGTCAAAAGGACCAAGTCCTATAAAAATATTACTAGTCAATTTAAAAAGGAAACCCTTCCCCTACCTGTCAGATCCCATACTCAGTTTTGTGATTACACCCAGTAAACAAAATAGATTGGCTCAATTCTAAACAATTCCCTCATCAGAGGAAGAACTGAAAACAAACAAACAAACCAATCCTTTAAACCAGCCCCAACTATTTCCAGTTGCAAAAAATTAAACTAGTTCTCATGGACAAAAGGCTACGTGTGGATTACCTCTTCATCAGCCTTAAAATTTTACGAGTGGAAAACTCAGCGAATAAAAAGTAACCTTCCTAAACTAAGAAACTTTTCCCTCTTATCCCAAGTACTCTCAATGAAAAGTTCTCTTGCGAAGAGGCAAAAACAAGTCAAAATAACAACAAACCAGGAGCAGGATCATCAGCCCTAGGACCACATCCCAGCCGTCTCTGCTCTCTAGTCTGTAGCTCAAATGCCCGTTTCCTCCTCTTCCTTTCACCCTTCTCCCCTTACTCCGGCAGTCACACTTAGAAAGCCAATATTCACATTCTCGGACTCTTGGCAAGCAGGGGCTGGCGTGCATGCGTGCGTGCGTGTGTGTGTGTGTGTGTGTGTGTGTGCAAAGATCAAGGAAGGAAGGAAAAAAGGGGGAAACATTTCAGACGCACGGTTTCCCCTGCAAACAGCAACGTAAAGGGCAGCCTTGTGTCATTGGGCTCTCGGGGACGCTGGTGGGAACATGAAAACGATGTTCAGTGTGTGTGCACTCGGGAGTCTCCAGGCAAGCTGACGCCCCGGGGCAGAAAAGTAAGAAAACCTGTGCTTTCCCTACTCCTGCCCCTAGCAGCTACAGAAAATGGGGGTGGGGCGGGACATTATCTCGCTCCTACTAAGGATACATACACAAATAGACAGGGGGTTCCTTCAGTTATCCCCAGTTAGGAGAGTGGGGTGGGGTTACGGAAAGAGGGAACCCCTAACTAGTATGACCTGCCTCCTTTCAAAAAGGGGGAGTAAGGGAGAACGATTAAATCCAGATGAAGCGCCCCTGAACGAGCCCCCAGGTCGCTCATTCCCCAACAGCAAGCGGAAGGGCTGGGATAAAGGGGATGGAGGGCTGGTCACGGGCAAGGCCCCACCCCCCGGTTTAGGAGGGAAGGCGAGCCCATGGTTAACATCCGAATCCCCGGGCCGCCCCCTCGCGTCCCACCTCCCGGGCCCTTCCCCGGCCTGCGGGGCCCGCGAGGCGGCCGCTCCTTCCTCCCCTCACCCACCGCGTCCCCACCCCCACCCGCTCCCGCCTGCCGCGGGCCCGTTACCTGCTCGTCGAAGCGGCTGACCACGGCCTGGACCCATTCCACCGGCCTGTGTGCGGCCATGTCCTCCCCGCGACCCGGGGGCGGCGGAGGGCCGGGTGGGCCGGCGTCCGGGACCCGCCGGAGGGCGGGCGGCCGGCGCTGAGGTGAGGGCAGCGGCGAGCCGAGCGGCGGCGGAGTGCGGGCAGCTAGCGTTCCCACGGGGGTGGGGACCGGCGCCCGCGCGGCCCGCCGGGAGGGGGACGGGGGAAGGGGGGCGTTGGCGAGGACGCCGGGGGAGGGGGTGGGGAGGGAAGCCCGGGGAGGGGAGGGCGCCTGTGGGTGGCTCTCCCCACTAGCGCCGTCTCCCCTCAGCCATCACGGTCCGAGACGCCGCCATGACACCCCACCGGAAGTGGGATCCTTTCCACGGGCCCGGGGAGAGGGAGAGCGAGCGAGCTCGAGATTGAGAGCGCGGCTGGGAAAGGGGAGGGGGAAGCGGGAGGGAAGGGGCCTGCTGCGCATGCGCCCGCGCCGGCCGGTTTCATTAATGAAAAAGCGAGTCCTCCTGGAGGTGACGTCACCTAACTCCTCCGGGCCCGGAGGCGCGCGTCCCTCGCCGCCGCCGGTCTCCCCACCTAGACTGGCGCGGGGCTCTGGCCGGAGAGTCTGAGCCGGCTCCGGAGCGTCGGCTGTCATCGCCACCGTCGCCTCCGTCAGCCCTTCCCCCGCCGGCCTCCGGGCATGGATTGCTCCCGGGGTTGGAAGTTAGGGTGTCCTGAGGCTAGGCTTTCTCTCCCTTCGCGGATCTCCGCCGCGGATCTCCGCGAGAGGCTGTGTTCAGTCCCTCTCTGCCTTCTGGACTCAAAAATAGAAGGCGCACACTGCCACGCAGTCGATGGCGCTTCTGAAGGCTGCTGAAAACGGTTTGTAAAAGAAAAAGGCCAAGAGGGATTCCGTGATTTTTTTTTAAGGTCTCTTAAATTCCAAAGCAAGACCCAGGGCGATCCAAGTTCTCAAGAGATTCCCCGAGTCCCCAAACCGAAATTCCTCTAACTGAACTGAAGGACAGCCAATTTAATCAAACTTTTGCACGGTTGATAATGTAAGACTGAATACTAATTCACTATACTGTAAAGGCCTTTAAAGGGCCTGGCATACCCATTCATCGTTTCGTTTCAGCCTTTTAGCGAACCTTTCCAGGAGGGCTCATTAACTGATGAATACCAGGGCACTGGAGGTTCCAAAATATACCCAAGATCAGAGCTGATAGGTGCCAGAATAGTTTGGCTTTAAGGACCATTGAGAAGGGCGACCTCTCCAGAAAGAAGGGCCTTCCGAATGTCCACTGTCAGAGTTCCAAGGACTTAGGCAGAATTGACTGTGCTCTCTTAAAAAAGAGGCTATATCCAAAAGGTAGTTTGTTCAAGGTTAGCCTAGTCTGCATGGGGATTTCCAGGCCAACCAGGGCTACAACAATGAAACCACAAAGTGGAGCAGGGGGGGGAAAGGGTGCTCTTTATCTAACATTGGTCTTTGAAATGAGTGTTCTTCAATGCACTTTGCTTAGGTCAGTGTTAAAATGTGTTTGCAGATGGGCATCTAGGTGCTCCTCCTTTTTAGAGGCAGGCGAATCTTCATGAGTTCCAGGCCAACCACTGCTCCGTAGTATGACCTTGTCTCAGAAACATGTGTATACACTCCGAGCACACATTAGAGTCATCAACCATTAGCCACACAAAAAGATACCCACTGGTGATAAGGTGAAACAAAACCACAATTTTCATTTCACCACAGAAAATCCACGAAGCCAGTAACCCATGTACAAAGTGAAATCCGTAAGAGAAGTTTCAAGCCTGGGCAGGTTGGTGATCTTCCAAAATGCATATTCAAGGTAAGGTTTCATTTCACCAAAAGGACGGAGATAGGCTGTTTCTATGATCCCTTCTTGAAAGATGCAGCATGGATACTGACTAATTTCTTTACATGATGTCAGAAATGATGACAGTGCTGAAAAGAAATGAATGAATATTAAGTAGCCTTCTGTGCTTTCGACATCCAGGACTCCTGAAAAATCTCTTAGTCATAGCCTATAGCCCCAAATAGTATCCCAACGTGTCTAATTCACTGCTAAACATCTTCAACCTCCCTTTCCTTTTCTCATACTCTGAAAACCCTTGGCTAGCTCTTCTTTGCCCTGGTGTTTTGTCTTCATCTTTGAAACTCTTAGATGTGGCTGAGCCTTGGGTTCCCTTCCCAACGTTGGCATTCCATTGCTGAAAGTCCTCTGTCTCCTTCTTCTCCTTGTCCGGTTCCTTCCCCGATTGTCTCCGTTCCTCTCTAGCCTTAAGTGCTGGCTTTTTTGATTCTTCTTTCTTTACTCCAACCCCAGTGAGTGGGTTGATTCATTTTACTGTGCACGTGTACAAACTGCTATTTCCTCCCCTGCACACCAATCCTCTCTCATTGCAAATGGAAGTCCAGCCTTCTTCACCCAGCCTCCTTTTTAATGAACTCAGCCAGTTCTTGTAAACCAGTATTAAATATATATCCGCCTGTTCTACACCGTAAGCTTTATTAAACAATGCATAGTGCTATGATAAGGAATCTAATCACCAGTGAAGATAAAGCCTGCTTAACTAAGGAGAATCCCTACCCACCCCCACCCATGTTTAAAGCATGAATATCACTCAGCTGCAGACAGTTACTATCATGAAGGAATGTTGACCTTACGTTGCTAGAACTTCCAGTCAATCAAGAGAAGCTAGAAATCCAAACTTATGTATGGGTGTTTCTCTTTTTTGCATTGTGACAGCTAAATCACATTTTCCAATGTTGGACAGCCAAACAAAGTTAGCTGTCTGAATCTAGCTTATGGGAAGCAAGTGGCCTAGCTGTAGTCTAGTTGGGGGAAGGCATGCACTTCTGAGTAGAGTAGAATTCGGTTTGTACCCTAACTTCCCCTCTTCCAAACAGTCAACGGTGAGTAGTATTAGTGATGATGTACACGTTCAATACAGTTTTAAATGTATCTCCCTCATTTATTCCCCACTTTGTTAAATTAAAAAAACACCTGGAAATTAGTTTTCAAGAGTCTTTTCATTTTTGTCTGTATGAGTGTTTTGCCTGCATTGACATCTAAGCACCATGTGTGTGCACTGCTTGAGAGAGCCAGAAGAGGGCATCAGAATCCCTGGAACTGGAGTTACCGATGGTTGTGAGAAAATAGGTGGGTGCTGGGAATCAAACCAGAGTCCTCTGGAAGAGCAGCCAGTGCTCGTAACCACTGAGCCATCTCCCTCAAGAATCTTGTTCAAAGTCTCAAGGTATTTCCTCTATTCTACCCTCTCCCCCGTTCCACTGGCACATTCCTTCCCCACCCCTCTACCCCTGCATACCAAAGAGCACAGGCTCTTCTGAATGAAGACACTTGTTTGCCAGGAGGGTTAGTGGCCAGTAGCCCTCAGCTGAATACCACTCCAGGAATTGCCCTCAGCCAAGGCAAGCTTCTGCATGCCACATCACAGCACTTCCAAGAGAGCCTTTACACACTAGACGTGCCTTCAGGGTGGGACCACTCTGAAGGCTCTCTTGACTCCACAGTACCCTGGTGGCATAAGCTGCCAAGAAATTGATTGGCTGCAGCTTTTGCTGTGACTACATTTAATTCAGCTTCTATTTCTCCTCAGTCCCACTCACTCTGTTACTACAGTGATGCCGATCCCAAAGACACTAAGTCCCATGAAGGGGGTCTGACACAGTGGAGCTAAGTTACCCTATGACAAGCTGGCAGTGAGGAAGCCACAACCTTGTAGGTCTTTACATGCACATGAATAAAAATAAACCTTTTTTTAAAGAAGGCTAGGATACCAATGGAAGGACATACCAATAGGTGCAGTCTAGCCGGCTTTTTTCTTTTTTCTTTTTTTTTTTTTTTTTTTTTTGAGGGAAATGGTAGCTTAAGGACAAGAATAGGGTATATACCTGTAACCCTAGCACTTGGAAGATTAAAACAGGACAGTGGTGAGTTCGAGACCAACCTGAGCTAGGGCGACCCTGACTCAGAACAACAACCCATTCATATAAAACTATGTAACTGTGACTGCAGTAAACCTATGCCGTGGAGAAAGACAATGGAAGTCTTAGAGTGATTAATTACCAAAGGCTAAGGATAGAAGTCGGAGTGTCTCCTCATCCCCTTGAGAGAAGGCATAAAAAGCTGAGTACAAGACCAGGACCTAATTATTACAGCAGTAGAACTCCAATGATTTTCAAGTCTGGCAAGGCTGCTAGGCCAAGGTCTGGGCTACCAGTTGGGAAAAGTGGGACACTGATAATCTGTGACAGGGCATCGTTTTCTATCGTTTACAGACCTTAAAAACCCCACATCCCTTGCCAGACAGGCGTGGTGGCACTCAGGGAAGCAGAGCCAGGAGGATCTCTGTAAGTTCTAGGCCAGCTTAGTCTACAAATCAAGTCCAGGACAGCCAGGGCTACACAGAGGAACCCTGTCTCAAAAACAAACAAAAGCAAAAGCCCTTTTGAGAGCTCTGGTGTTGTAGAAGCCTCTGTCCTCTGCATGAAAGGCTCTTGCCTCATCATCTCTCATCCATAAGTGTATCTACCTTACAGAACAAAGTGGGCCCTTCTCAGACTCTACCAATACTTTTCACCTATATACCAGACTCACAACTGAAGTCAAACCACAAAATAACCCTTTCAAGGAAATGTTAGAACCACTAATGAAGGAAAGGCAATATGTATATAAAAGGAGATAAAGCCAGCCGGGGTGTGTGTGTGTGTGTGTAGAAGCTAGGAGAGTATGGGATCAGGTCCCCAGATTGTTTTGGGAAAGGAGGGAGGAGGAGAAAACATAATACTAAACAAAGCAGAGTTTATTGATATAAGCACATTCCTGTACTGTGGTGTCTACATCCTGGTTAGGCCCCCAGGAAATAGTGCTAATAGATTACTGGGATGGCTCTGTACTTGGCAAAACAGAAAAATCAGAGCTGTCTGAAAAAAACAACAGAATAAGAGAGAAATAGACACAGGGAAGCATGCACAGGTATTGCCAGCATCCAGGCACTCAGGCAGGAGGATCATGAGCTGGAGCCTGGAATGCATAGTGAGTATGAGACCAGCTTGAGCTCAGTACAAGACACACAGAGAGAGACTCAATGAAGTGGGTTGCTAGAGTGTACCTCCCCAGGCAGCAGCCAGCAGCGTTCTGCCGCCTTTCATAAGCTGATGACAGGGATGCTGCATTGCTGAGAATTTTCTTATGGTTCTTTTCTGGAGACCAGGGCTGCTGACAGACAGCATTAGAGTTAGGAGTAGTAGGCATCAGAGACTTCTAGATTAAGTACCATTGTTTTAGATGTCAGGGTTAGAGTGGGCCTGACCCCCAGTAAGCTGTGCACAAACTTAATAGAACACCAGAAGAAACTTAGCTGGGCAACCAATCAGGTCCAGTAAATATTTTTAAAGCCCAGGGATAGAGGGGGGAAAGACTGAGAAAGGCTGCCCCCAGCAAACAATCTCTCTCCCCATTTCTTGATCCAGGTCAATTTCTAGAATGCAACAACTCAAGAAGACTGGATTTTCAGCAAGTCAATGAAACAAAGAGGCCACTGGTCCTCCCTGACTGTAGAAGTAGTGTGGACATATTTAGTTGCTGGTAGAATTGCCACCTCCGTTTCTTTTGGCCTGTGGCACAAAAGCTGTCATAGCAGGAAAGATAAGGTGGAGGGCTCTGAACCTGTTCCTGTCCATGCCAACCAAAAGCATACATTCTCAAAACTAGCCTGCTGCCAGACATGATGGTACAAGCCTGTAATCCCAGTTCTCAGGAGGCGGAAGCAGGCAGATCAGGAATTCAGGGTCATCCTTAATTACGCAGGGAATGTGAAGCTGAGCTGTGGTGTGGGAAACCCCATCTCAAAAACAAACATGGCTGTCTTGAGGGAATGGCAGAAATGATAGACCAGGGACAGAGCAGCAGAGGCTCCTATTCACAACGCCGACCTAGCACCTGATTCTGCTGGGCACCCAACCTGCCAGAAATGTAGTGCAGTTTTCATCATTTGCTTTCTATCCTCCTTCCTACGAAGAAACCAAAGTCTCCAGGAAAAGTTAAAAGAAGCCTGAGCCCTCATCTTTCCTCAGGCGGTGATACTGACCCTGGACCATCCACATATGGAGTTCAGGTTGCATAGAACAAGGAAACCCTCCATTCTGCTAAGCATGTACATCCAGATTCAGAGCTGTAGAAAGCCCTGCCAATACCAGGGGGCGCTATGACTTGCAAAGACTGAGAGGCTTAAGTATCCGCTAAAGGAGGAACTCGGGAATGGAAAGAGAAATGACCGTGAGAAGAGTTATGGTGGATTGTAACCTGGAAGAGGTACACTAGAGTTTGGGGATTGGGAGGGTATTTGGTTGTTTAGGGTTGTTTTGTTTGTTTTGGTGGTGGCGCACACACCACCCACCACTCACCTCTCCCCCACTGGCTCGGTTCTTTGTCTAGGTGTAAAGCCTAGGCCAAGGGTCTGCTTGGACCACTTGTAAATACTTACATAATTCTCATTAGCACTGTTGTAACAAGACACTGTGAGAACGTTGGGTTAAGTCAGCCTGGTACTCCGGAGGCTGAAACAGGAGCACTGACAGGTGTCTGAGGTCAACCTGGGCTACACTGTGAGCTGCAGGCTAGATGTGGCTACAGAATAAGACCTTGTCCAAACAGAGCCAGAACAAGCAAGCAAGCAAACAAATCCAGGACCGCTAGGAAGGGATACAAAGAGAAATAAGACAGAAATCTACACTATCAGCCCTTCACTCCTCTTTTTTTTTTTGTAATAATTTATTTTATTTTATTTTCTGTGCATTAGT